TCAAAATAATCTTTCACTCTGTGAAAGTAATATTTGTCATCGATTTGACCACGAGATTTTGTAAAGCACATATAGATAATTATGGTCCATTCATGATGGGAATGTGACAACATGTAATTTATGAATACATATTCATTTTTGGAAGAATATGAACGTGCTAGTGGTAGTGAATATACCACACTCACCTCTAAAAGGAGGTTTGAGATGAAATAAAAAAATAATTTTATTATTATGGCATGAATGGTCATTGATCATGTACCTATTGTGATTATCCCGAAATATTATGGCAATGTAATTACTACAGGGAAAAAGTAATGGAAGCAACATATCTTGCCTATAATAATTTTGACCGTGACCATAATGGGATAACATTCTCCTTCAATGAGATATTCACCATATGAATGTTGATGAATATGTGGTAGTACAAAAGTAATTGAGAGCTCTAGAAGAGCCAATTATTATAATTTTGGAGGAATAAAATTAATTATCGATAAGGCATTGTGTCGTACTAAGTCTCAAAGAAACTTATTGAATTTCTAAAATTTTCGCGAAAACGGTTGGTCATATTGAGACTATAAATAAAGGAAAGATTTAATATCTTCTATTACTACAATTTGTAGCGGGGTAATATTTAGATGAAAAGTTACCCGTTTTATTCTTCAGTTTGTACTACACACATAAAAGAATGCCACAATAAAGTGGAAGTTTATTGATATAAAAACCCATATCATAAAAAAACTTGAAGTTTATTGATAATTGCACACGTCATGGTGCAAACCTGAAATTTATCAATATTGATAATTTATCCAGTTGGCATAATTGATTTAGCCATATTAATTTTAAGTATGATGTGCAAAAATAAAAGAAAATTCACATGGGTAAATATTAAAGAACTAGAAAGTTCTTTACGAATTCTCTTATATTGTTTGTTGTCATTAATTAATAGACCAACTAAAATTGGGATTGAATCCCATGAATACTGAAAATATCAAAGGTGAATATGGGCTCATTCACCTGCCATGTATACCACATAAGATGACACGCTCAAAATCCACCTAGTCATAATGACACCTAACCCAACCCGTCAGGTAAGCCAATTAATAACTATCCAATTTAAATGAGATTTATTAAGAAAAGAAATGATAATAAAACTGCTTTTATACAAGAATTTTTCAAGGACTGGTAGTACAAATCATGAGCTTCTAAGATTAGAATTTACAAAGCTGGTATGAAATAAATACATCATCTATTTTAAATGTACATAAACATATTTTATTTATAAATCTAATACTACCATGAACAAGAGGTAGCTATAACCGGAACACAGATACGTCTTCAAATCTCGCTCCCGTCGATCATAATAACATCAGCATTCAATATCTGTACGCAAGGTGCAGAAGTGTAGTATGAGTACAACCGATCCCATGTACTCAATAAGTAACAAACCTAGCCTTAGGTTGAAAGTAGTGACGAGTTGGAACACATGTCGGGGTCCAACACCAATAGCCAACAACAGTTCATAACAACATAAAGGAAGTAATAAAAGAAGTAGCTCAGAGATAAAAAGTTCGCTCGTTCACAGTTTCAGAAAAATAGGCCTGCTTTCCAAGTATATCAGTGAATACCCAAATCTTTTACTGAAATCACCAAAATATGAATGTTTTGTAAACCTGTGATTTTTCAAAATCTTTCAAGAGGTAAATGTTTCATTTTCTAAAGGCATGAGGAAAATACATCTTTATGCCTACATGTCAATATGTATGAGAAGTCATGAATTACGTGATACCGTACAGCATAAGGAAAAATGCATCTTTATGTCTGTATGTCAAGTGTGCATGTCAAATGCGATGTAACTCAATGATAAAACCATATGCATACTCTCAGAGTATCAATTCACTCAGTCCTCTCAGTCACTCAGTCCTCGCAACCACTCATTCCTCACAGTCACTCAATCCTCCCAATCACTCGGCACTCGCACTCAGTAGGTACATTCGCTCACTAGGGGGTGTACAGACTCCAAAGAGGCTCATTCAGCCCAAGCGCTATAACAAGCCAATCATAGCATAAATCAATAAAGCATGTTATGACATGCAGACCGATCCCATAAACATCCTCACCATCAGGCCCTCGGCCTCACTCGAACATTAATCTCTCCAGTCTCTCGGGCTCACAATGTCATGAAAATCAACCCAAAATGATGATGTGATGTATCAATAAATGGTGACAGAGACTGAGATATGATATGCAAATGAATGCGTATGACTGAGTATGTAATTGCAATGTAAGCAAATAATTCAACAGCAGTAATGACTTCGGTGGGTCCCAATAGAATAAGCATATAGCCTAGGCATGGTTTCTAACATGGATCACAACTCGATTACTCTAGCACGTAGAGATTTAATAGATACAAATAAGAATAGGTAACTACACAATACCATAAAAATAACCAAGTCACAATTCATATGGTGCACGCCCACACGCCTATCACCTAGCACGTGCGTCACCTCGACACCAAACACATAACACGTATAATCAGGGTTCATACCCTCAACTCCAAGTTTAAAAGTGTTGCTTACCTCGAACAAGCCAAATCCAATACTAAGCAAGCCAAACGATGCTCCAAAATGCCATCCCGCACGTACCGACCTCCGAACAGCTTGAAACTAGTCAAAAGCAACTCAAATATATCAAATAATGCCAAAGGGAACAAACCCAATCGATAAAGGTTGAATCTTAAATCAAAATTCTGAAATCGACCAAAAGGTCAAACTCGGGCCCGCGCCTCGAAACCCGATGAAACTTACAAAATCCGATAACTCATTCAATTATGAGTCCAACCATACTAGTTTCACCCAAATACGACTCTGAATCGATGTTCAAAACTCAAAAATTCACTCTATGAAACTTTGGGCAATAAAACCCAAATTTCTCTTTAAAAACGTAATCCATTTACCAAAAACAAAGATAAAACCACGAAATATAATCACAAGTGAGTCGAGAATGCTTACCCCAAGTCACATGGTGAAAATTGCTTCAAGAATCACCTCAATCTGAGGTCTATAACTCCAAATATGAACAAAACGACCAAACCCTTGATTTAAAGCTTCTGCCTAGTCATTTCCGCTTTTGCGGACACAAGAGTCACTTCAGCGGCGTCGCTTCTGCGACACGAGCTCCGCTTCTGCGGAATCCACTAGACAGCTGACCCCTCGCACCTGCGAATCTTTATCCGCTTCTGCGCAACCGTGGGTGCGAAGCCAAACACACTTCTGTGCTCAATCTCACTTCTGCGCCCAAGACCATCGCTTCCGCGAGGCCGCAGATGCGTCCTAATTTCCACTTATGCGATCTTCCTTGCCCAGGTCTCACCTCACTTCTGTGAAGAAGACCCCGCATCTACGACGTCGCTTCTGCGACTAATTGTCCGTAGATGCGGCCACACGAGAACCAGCAGCCTTAGCCAAATGCAACATGCGACGAAATGGTTGAACCTCGTCTGAAACTCACCTGATCCCCTTGGGACCCCGTTCGAATATACCAACAAGTCCCATAACATAACATAACATTGACCTACCCGAGACCTCAAATCACACAAAACAATATTGAAACGACGAATTGCACCTCCATTCAAACTTAATAAACTTTCAAATCTCGCGCCGAAACATATCAAATCAATTCGGAATGACCTCAAATTTTTCACACAAGTTTCAAATGACATAACGAAGATATTCCAACTCCCAGAACCAAAATCTGAACATGATATCACCAAAGTCAACTTCCAGTCAAACTTATGAACAATCCATAACTCCAAATTGCCAATGTTCGCCAATTAATGTCAGAACCTTCAAGAAACATTCAAATGCAATTCCGGGCATACGCCCAAATCCAAAATCACCATCCGGACCTAATGAAACCATCAAACTCCGATCCAGGGTCAACTACACAAAAGTCGAACTTGGTCGATTCTTCCAACTTAAAGCTTAAATCATGAAATTCATTCTTCCAAATCGATTCCGAATAACCTGAAAAACCAAAACTGACGGTTCACATAAGTCATAATACATCATACGGAGCTACTCATGCTACCGAGCGAAGTGCAAATGCTCAAAATGACCGGTCATAATACATCATACGAAGCTACTCATACAACAAATAATTTTTTGTATATTTTAAATATATAATTATTTTTAAGAAACTTTAAGAATCTATATGTGTTAATTCACACTGAAAATTAAGTTCCTTTCATATTCGTTCCTTCATATAAATTGAGACAAAATGAGTATATTTTTCTTGAATATAACTTATGTACATCGTAGGTCGGTGTAAAGAAATTTTTATACAATCACGTCACTTTAAGGATATCTACCGATAAATCTCTTCAAAATGCGGGTACGTATTCCAATGGGTGTCAATGGTTCGGTTCGGCCGGTTATTTTATAAAATTTGTACCATACTATTTTTTCGGCTATTCTATCATGTATAACCAAAATTAGATTTTCCGAAATTGTCCCAATCACGTCAGTTTCTCTTCGATATGGGTACGGTTAGGTTAATTTTTGGCTATTATTTTAGTGCCATATAAAAATCACTAGTAGAAGTAGAATGCAATAACCTGCATTACAAAACTCTCTAGACATTTTTACTGTTTAAAGGGTGATGAATTAAGAAAACATGAAAGTTGATTAGAGTATAGATTCATCAACTATTCTATAGTAGTGTAAAAGAAACTAAGCAAAGACAAAGAAAAGACAAAGAGTATGAACCGGACTCGAGAATAAAGAATATAGAAGATTAAATATTCAAAAAGATAAATTTAAATCATACTAAAGGAAACATATTCAATACATTATAGTTTGCTACTTATAATTGCTAGAATACCGTGTGTCTTGCTAGTTAGGGAATTAAAAAAACTGAGATAGTACCACTACTTGGGAAGTCTACGCAAGGGAATTAGTTGTTAACATCAATCATAAAAAGTAAACGCTACAACATCTCTTTATAAGCCAATCCCATCGCATGCGTATGTATATGCAACAACAATTAAGATAGTAGTAATTCAATTCAAGAAACGATCTCCAGTTTAGGCAAAGATGGGGAGCAGTGTTGTGTGGAAAATTGTTTTGCTATTGGTTTTTATTGGATGGCTTTTCATCTGGATAATGTTACCTACAAAGACTTACAAAGATTCATGGACTCCCCAGCTCAAAATCAAGCTCAACTCCACATATTTCAGAGAACAAGGTAGTAATTACTCTAATTAAATTAGCTTAGTCAAATTTTTTCCCGTTTTTTCCTAGTTAGTATAACGCCAAATCTGAACCATTTCCTTAAGTTGAGTAGCAAATTTGGACCTTTGCCCTAAACCAATTGACACTTCGTTACTGCAGGGACAAATCTTCTTTTATTTACATTTCCTATAATGTTGATAGCTGCTCTGAGCTGCATCTATCTTCATCTTTACAGCAAGTCAAGTTCTGATCAGAGGTTAGTTAATGATTTTATTTCATTACCTCGTTCTCAGCCATTAATATTTATCACGTACGTTGGAGGAACAAAAAAATAACATAATTATATATTCTCGGCATGTTATAATTTCGTGAGCATTTTTACAGTACTAATGGCAATAAGGGGCAATATTTTCGTTCATGGAAACGGCCTGTGCTTGCGATGGCTCCTCTGGGAATTGTGAACGCCGTTGAGCTTGCATTTGCTGCTATGTTTATCGCCCTTCTAATTTGGTCTTTAGCCAACTACGTCTGTATCAGCTTTGGTCGTCTCCATATGCACAACGCTGGAGAGAGAGTGTAGGTTTTCTATTTCTTAAAATTAAACAGTTGAATCCTATTGTTGATATATATATATATATATATATATATATATATATATATATATATGTTCCGCGTAAAAACTGTTGAATTCAGTTGAACTAATATTACAACATCGATCCGCCTCTT